ATATTTTTAATTACAGTAGTTAGCTGCTTTACATTTATAATCTTTAACTAAGTAATGTAATGTTAGATAGTCTTCTTTTCTTACTACTTTTTACTAAAAGTAGTAAAACCTATAATTTTTTTATTTATTACACTTAATCTAACTTTCTTGTTTGTAAGAAGGAGCTATTTAACAAGTGTAGTAATTTATAGTTTTGCAGGCTAAGGCTGTTCCCTGCTATAGGCAACTGTTGTAGTTCCTTTCTTATGTAGGCTACTATCCTGCTTAATGTTTGTTGTTCTAATGCTTAATGCAATACTATTGCGTGCATTAGTACTAGAGGTATAAATAATTATTAGGTCTATGTAATGTGTTAAGAGGACTTTCTTAGGTCTACTAAGGGTATTCTTTTGTTTATACAAGCTGTATAGGGTGCTCTTTCTATTAGCAGCTGTTTGTGCTATAGGTGCTGCTTCTGCAAAGGACACATTGTCTGTAATTCTGTTGTATTGCAAGAGCCTTTCTAGAGATTGCTAGGCTTAGGAGCAGTGTCTTAGGTTTTTTAGGCGCTAGTTATAGTACCTTAAACTTAGCAGGTTTACTTAGCTATTCTAGCTTTTAATCTTTAATCTTAGTAAAGAATTACTATTACTTTTTTTTATTTATAATGTTATATTTAACTTTAGCTATTCTTTATATAATGTTAAACATTAAGTAGTTATTACTAATGTTTATTTAGTAAAGCAAAACTATATAATTACTTAAGTAGTTATGTTATAACCTGCACTTTTAGCACCTACATTTCTAAAACTGTTAGGAAAGTTCTTTTACTAAAGTACTAGAGGTTTAGTCTTAGAAAGGGAACTGTTTTTTTTTTTTTTAGACATTTATAATATATCTTTAGATCTAAGTTTCTTCTTTATATCTCTTAAAAATTATAAGGTCCTGCAACACTATATTAAGGCTATTAAAGTTTTAAATAACTACTTTCTAATATAGTTTAGGGTAGTTGTTTAAAGAGTAGTTTCTTTTACATTACTAGTAAAGTCTATTATCTAGTCTTTCTTATATTTTCTTATCTATAAGGCTATATTTAGCAGTAATAGCTTTTATTATTATAGTAGTATTTTTATTCTCCTCTTTCTAGAAGTTTAGGTAATTTTAGCAGAAATGTCCTACTTTTTTATAGTTTAGGTAGGCCTTGTTCTCTAGCTACTTTTATTATTCCTTTATTAGAGGCGGCCTATTGCGTTCTAGAACTTAGCTTTTCTTAGAGAGGAGGCTCTATATATGCTTTGCATAACTAAGGTCTATTAGCTTTTTATTATATTATAAAAGCTCTTTCTTTTTAGGGATAAATTTTAGCTTTTAGAAAGTTCTCTTTAATTTCTTTTCTTTTTTATGTTCTTTATAGCAATTATTATAGGTTGTTGCTTTCTTAATATAGTCTTTAAAAGTAGTTAGTTAGTCTATGTGCATAAACTTATCTTTTACTTTGTTATTTAGTCTGTTGTAAAACATGTAGCATAGAGCTTTTTAGTTATTCTATCTACAGATAGCTATTTATTCCCTAAAGCGTGCTGCATAGTTTTAGACTAGTCTGCTGCCCTGCCTTATATTGTCTAGTTAGTTAGCTGTAATTCTTTTTTTATCTAGGGTCTTATAAATAGCTAATAGAGCTGCCTTAAAATTTTTAACACTACTAAATACTTCTTTAGTTTTAGGGTTAAGTAGTGCGCTATTAGCTCTAAAGTCTATCTAGTTATTAGTGTAAAGTTAGAACTAGATTATAGAAGGGCCTTTTAGGTGTAATCCTATTTAGGAGATTATTTCTATGTTAGTTTAAAATGCTCCCTTGTTGTATTACATATAGAGGTGGCATTTAGTAAAAAATAGTTAGAGGTCTTTTAGTAATTTTTTAAAAAGCTTAAAAAGGGCTAGTCTTAAAGCCTTTTTAGCTGCAATACTTGCTTTATCTGTTAAAATATTTTAGACTTTTACTAGTTCTACTTATAATTTATGTATCTAGTAGGCTTAGGTAATGTCTTTATAGAGTTTAGTAAGAGATAGGGGGCTTAGTAAGTTTATAGTTTTTTAGTAAAAGTTAGCTATTTTTTACTTAAGTTTTAGTAACTTACTAACTTTATTACTAATCTACTAGAGTTTTTTAATGTTGTCCTAGATTAAGTTAATCTGTTCTGCTAGAACAGCTTTACTTTAGGTAAGAACTTCTGTAGATCCTAATAGCGCAGCATAGGCTATGTTAGAATCTAAATTATGTTATAAGGTTGCTATACTTTTTAAAAAGGGTAGTGTTTAATGTTATAATTCTTGCTTTGTAAAGCACTTAGGTCTTAGTAATATTCTTAGGGGATAAGTAGGACAGGTAGAAGGGGCTAATCTAGTAGAGTGTACAGTCCTACGTACAGGCTATTAGGCTAATAGAGAATAAAGAGTAACTAGATTATAGTTTGCCCTATGTGCAGCAGTAGGGAGGCTAGGGTTAAACAGTCCTGTAGGATAAAGTTAGAGGTATATATAGTGTAAGATATATAAATAGTATTATAGCTCTTTAGAAAGCTAAATGCTACTTAGTCTATATAAAGAATAAACTAAACATTAAACACGCCTTTTAAAGGCTGTTTAAGGCAAGAACTATATACATGTGCTAGGGCGCTAAGGGGAGCTAGAGGAGTTTATAGGAGCCTGCTAAGAAGAGCTCCTTAAGCTCCCTTAAGCTCCTAGTAATACGCAGCCTGCCTTCCTATTAGATGACGCATTCTTCTATAATCTCAGGCAGCCGCGCTGCCTCTGTGTCCTCTGACTGGTTTCTAAGCGAGCCCTGCCCCAATCCAGCTAGATTGTGGAGCACTGTCGGTGGAGTTACGCTGGTCTAACCATAGATCGTAACATTTTTTTACTTTTTTTACACTTTATTAACTAGTTTTCTTTGCTAGAGTTACTCTATTAATATTTAATAAGTAATACTAAAAGTAGCTATAGAGACGCTAAGCTATTAATAATCTTATTTACTTATAACTTAGTGTTAGTAAAACTAATTATATAGTGTTTAAAAGTAGTTTTAAAGTACAAGTTACTATAGTTAGTGTAGTGCTTATGCTAATACTTATAAAAGTAATAAAATCTAGTTTTTAAGTTCTTTTAATTTGAAATTACTTTAATGCGCTACTTTACTAAGGCTTAATTAAGCAGCTACTGTGTTTTTTTTAGATTATACTTAATTATAGTTATAACTTTAGGTATATTAAAACATAGCTTATTAAATAACTAGTTACACTTTATAGCTTTATTTAAAGCCTTAACTCTAAATTTTACCTTAATATAAAGTGTTATATAGGTAATAGTTATAGATTTCTTCTTAACTTAGTAGTTAATTACACTAAAAAGTTATTAACACTTATAAAAACTAAAGTTAGTAAGATTTATCTTAATCTAAGCTTTTTTAAATAGTAATAGCCTTAAAAATATCTTTTTTACAATAATGTTAAAGTCTTAGCTATTAATTATTAACATAGGCTGTGTAGCTATTTTATCTATTATCTACTTTACTTTATTTAAATTAAAGAACACACAATTAATAAGCTATAGTTTACATAGAATAAGGCTCTTATTATTAATGTATAATTTATATTAGATCTCTAGTTACATAGTTAAAATTAATATAGGTAATAAAATGCTAGCAGAACGTGCTTTAAGTAATAAAGTAGATGTAAGCTTAATAAGCTCTATCAATGTAAGCTTAATAAGCTCTATCAATGTAAGCTTAATAAGCTCTATCAATGTAAGCTTAATAAGCTCTATCAATGTAAGCTTTAAACACTGCGTCTATTGTAATAACAAGCACTGTCTCTACTACTGTATAGAGCTAGGGAAGTGAGGTAGAGTAGGTTGGCTCTATTTCAGCTAAACTAGGATGGGGAGCGAAGAAGGCGAAGGGTTTTCGCGAGAGAAAAGCTTGCGCGGCGCTAAGGCGCTAGCGCGCTCGCTTATCCCTTAGCGAGATCATGTGACTAGCAGCGGAGCTTGACAAGCAGCACCGTCACATCTATAGTAGTAATAGTAGTAATAATAGCAAAAGTAGCTGCTTTTTAGTATGTTTAGTATCTATTATTTTAATTACTAATGTTAATTTCCTTGTTAACGCTAAGGAATCTTAACTACCTTAGCTATAAGCTAGGGCAGCTAGAAGACTATTAACCTCTAACAGAGCAGACTAGCGCACTAACTTACGCGCTAAGCATGTCTTTTACGCGCCTTAATAAGTAGCCTAGGAGCTCTGTTTACAACCTTCTTTAAGTAATAATAAGACAGTAGCAGCAGCTGTTGTCTTAGCTTTGTTAGTAGGCTTAAAAGCGTGTTTAGGGCAAGCAGCAGGCATATTTAGCACCTACAACACTTAAAAAGTTGTTAGTATAGGCTTCTACATGTATATATATAGCTTTAACTTCTACTAACTAGTCACTGCAGTATTTGCAGGTGTTTATAGTTAAATTCACAAAAAGTCGCGTTTTCTATAGGGAAACGCGGGCGCGCACGAACGTTACAATGTCGCTAAGAAAATCCGCCGATTTTTGCATACAATAGATAGATAGGCCCAAATCACCTGCTGCCAAGCTCCTATATCAACTCTCTAACAAGGTAGAAGAACTGCGAAAATTAAGAACCTATCGTGGCAACCACAACGTTAGATATCTACTTACTCCAAGGATTTCCACGCCTCTCGCACAAGGTCATTGCGTAGTCATGTTAACTACGTGGCAGATCACGACTCGTCGTTAGTAACGTTGGGAACGTTGGAAATGTTGCAGGGCCGTGGCAGGGTTGTGGCAGGCGTTATAGGGATGGTAGACTTTTATAAACTTTCGAACACACCTTTTTTGTTCATTTGACCGGAGAAGGGTGATATCTGACACAGCGAAAGACCTAAATTTAGAGATTCCAAGTCGTTATTGTCCTAGAACAGCAGTTCTATCAAACTATGTGGCAGCTACTCTACTACTCCGATCCCATTAGTGTCAAGCTTGTCTCAGTATCGCATATGGAGTCTTATTTGTTATGACTTTTCCAAAGCTCCCCAAAGTATGTGCTTGGAGTTGTGGCCAAATCCTGCGGTACGCCTGACTCGACCAACCTCCCCCCGTCGAGTACAATCACTCGGTCAAAGTAATCCACCACCGTTTCTAGGCGATGAGAAATGCCGATGACAGTATAGTTTATGAATTCAGCCTTGACGATTTCGTGGATTCGTCTGTCGGTGTCGTAATCAACGCTACTGCTCACCTCATCCAGGAGTAGGATGCCTCCAGTCTTCTCACCTGGTGTTTTCCTATCTTTCACTAGTTTCCGTACGATGGCTCGGCCTAGACAGAAAAGCTGCCTTTGGCCCATGCTGAGGTCATCCACCCCCATGCAAGCTTCAAGTCCACCGCGGTCCTCGGCAAAATGCGCCAGACCAACCATCTCAAGGGCAGACATGCATTCGTTTTCATTAGCTTTCCCAAAGGGGTCAATACCGAGTTTGATGGTGCATCCATCAGGTAAGAGACTAGCTCCCTGAGATAAGGCTATGATCCTTTTTCTCAAAGTCCCACGCTTGACGCGACAAATTGGTACATGATCTATTACCATCGTCTCCTCCGCATCGTTGAGCGGGTCGAGGAGACGCAGCAACAAAAGCATAAGAGTAGATTTTCCACTGCCAGTGCGACCACAGACAGCCAGTTTCTGGCCTGGTGGAACGTTCAGGCTCAGGTCGCGAATTACCAAATCCAGCGAAGACTGGGGTAAGCCTGAATGGGCATTCCGGTTCACGTCATCTGCCGGAAGCTTGTATGAAGCAGATACATTCCTTAATTCGATGGCTCCACTCGAAGGCCAAGTCTCGGGAGGCTCCATGTCTTCAGTTGGTCGGTCTTCGGGTTTCACGGAAGTGGTGAACGTCTTCAATCGGCTGACAGCCCCGATACATGTCTCCAGATCCGTATAGCTTTGCACAAGCTCTGCAAGCGAATTGCCAAATGACAGGAGGGTAACCAGGCTTGTTCCGGTTCGGCCGACATTGGAATTCAACTGTGTAGCCAGCGAGACAATCACCAGCGCTAAACCAGCAACAAGAAGCTGCATGACGACGCGAAGCCACTGTTGCATCGCCGCTAGCAGATACGCTGGCTGTAGCGAATTGTCAAGTAGCTTGTCGTTGTATTCAATGCCATGGGCTACCCATCCAAAGGCACGCACAGTTGCAATACCCCTCATAGTGTCGAGGAAATGCGTGCTATGAATGTTTAGTCACTGCGACATATACCAAAGAAAAGCAGAAAATGGAGGTCAAGATGTGTTGAACTTACTATAAGGGGCTTTTAGCTTCTAGATCAAGGAGTCGAAGCTGCCTGGACGTTCGGAGGTAGAAGCGCTGTACGAAGTACAGCACTGCAAGCAAGACTGGGAATCCCACTGCAAGAAACGGCGCGGCCGTTGCAATAACGATGAGCATTCCAAGAGCCTCCGTCGAGTTTAGTGCAACAAAGAAGAAAGCAAACAGCAGCTCTCCATCGATCAAAGTTAGATCCTGGGAGAAATGGTTGATTGTAACTCCTATATCTGTAGAAGTAAGGAACCGCAAAGGAGCCGTGATCAGAGTGGTTAAGGCTTGCTTATGCAAGGCGCTCCCCGCAAAAGCTGTCATCGAGATGAAGATCTCAATGGCGCTGGCGACCCAGGAGATGATGAACATGGCCTGAAGCAGTGCGTAAATTCCAACATAGAAACTTGCTTCGCGGTTAAATGTATCCTGAGACCAATAGCTCAACCAAACTGTGGCGAAATTGGAGCTGAAACCATGGATCATTGCGAAAAGAAGTAGAGAGGCTGTTGAGAGTGGGCGAACATTCTTGAACCAATGCTTGTACACGGTCCAGTCGCCTAGTGCACGAGATGAGTCGTTCAATGAAGGCTTCAAAGAACTCCGTGCGCTCGCATTTTTATTGTCCACCCGCGTTGTATCTAACGCAGATGCTTCTTGGGACTGCTTAACGTCGACTTTGATGTCTAGTTTTTTAACGTACTCGCTACTTTCACGTAGCTTCCCGAACGATCCCTGCTCGGCCTTAGTCCCGTTGTTTGTGAGGACAATAACATGGTCCGCTGCTGGTAGATAACCGATCGAGTGGGTACATAGTACTGCAGTAACTCCATTACGTTTGATAAAACCGTCTGGTCCGAAGACGCGCTGGAACAGCATAGAAGCTGTACTAGCATCGAGTCCGCTCAGCGCATCATCGAATACAAGCACCTTTGCACCAGAGTAAAGCGCTCTGGCAATCGCCACACGTTGTTTCTGGCCACCACTAAGAGTAGAGCCGCTGCTTCCCATCATGGTGTTGCTTCTTCGTGGGAAGGTACTGATGTCAGCGTTGAGTAACGTCGCTGCAACGACCTCATCAAACCTCTCCTGACTAAACTTTGAGCGGCCGACAATATTGTTTTTCAAGGTGTCTTTGTAGAGGAAAGGTTCCTGCTGGCAGTAACCAAGGCTGCTGTTGTGAGGAAAGAAGACAGACACTTTGCCAGAGTAGATAGGCACCTCCCCAAGTAGAGCCCTGCATAATGTTGACTTGCCCGAAGCAACCTGCCCAATGATGATTGTCAAGCTCTTTGCCGGAATGTCGCAAGTTATATTTGCCAAGACTGGGCGGCCTGGGGACCATCCAAAACTCCCACGCTCGATCTTGAAAGCCAACCCATCTTCTTGTGCGTTTGGTGGGTTCTTGGCCACCTCCTTTACCTGATTGCTAGCGCTGCCAGCTTCAGATATCCAACAGCGGAAATCAATCCTCGGATCTGAATCAAGAAACTTCTGGATACGTTGCATGCAGGTTAATGCCGCCAGTACCGATGGAAAGCAATTGAATATGATGGTGAAGGGGGCCGTAACGAGAAGAATATAACCATAGGATGTAAAGATGGTTGATACATTCAGTATCGAATTCGATGTAGCAGCAAAAGCTATCACTGGTGAAAAAACCGAAGGCACCGCGCCGAGTGTGATGGTGCAAATTACAAGCCATCGGAACTTCAGACCGACACGAATCTCTGTTTCCCGAAGACTCTGTATGGTGGTGCCGACGATTTCAGCTAGTCCTGAGATCTTGTACGACTTCATCTGCGAAATTGCGGCCGCAGTGATGCCGACTCTATTCTGAATCTTTGCCATCCAAGCCACTAGGCGCTTGTCAACAAGCCTCGTCACTGCCATCAATAATACAGAGCAGACGGCGATCACAATGATGGGGGAGATAAAAGCCACTCCAAGCTGACCGTAGAGCAGCCAGCAACCGAGGCCTACCTGCGCAAGGATGGCCCATATTTCATGGATCATCCGCACGCCTTGCACGATGCGGTCAAGGTCGGTGCTCATGAGGGTGATTGCTGCTGAGTCATCGGTCATCTCTTGGCTCATCTGGGTGGTTTTTCGAAAGATCGCGGTGTGGAGAGAGGAGCGAAGCATGTACACGAACTGTTGGTTGTAGTACTGATATATCCCAGACGAGATAGCGATGCCCGTATAGATGAGAAAAGCAGCGCCGATGAGGCCGTATCCGTGGTTTCTGTCACGGTCTTCTTCTGCCGTCGCCAAATAGTCCAACATACTTTGAATAAAGAGAGGTTGGCAGAGCTTGAATCCGACTAAAGCTAAGCGCGGTACAACAGGATACAGGAATGGACCCAAGAGAGCCCGGGTAACGTCTTTGACAAGTCCATACTGTGATCGTTTTAGAGAGCCTTGAGGTCCCCATTTCAACGTTAGGTTATTGTAGAGGTTATTGGCCCCCAAGCTTGTGTTGAGGGGACACAAGTCATCGATAGCGATGATTCCACGATATCCACGAACGAGCAGCGAAATGAGCCACGAATAGGTGCCAAGGCTAATGATTCCAATCGCTTCCTCTGGGCTGCGTTGCTCTCCACCTCTTCGCGTTGATCCTGACTTTGGCGTGACCTCCAAACAGAAATTGATGGCCTTGATTGCCACGGATGCTGTGAATATTTTCGCAAGGGTGGTTTGGTGCGAGAGCCACAGTGTACGACATTGTACAATATCGAGCAGCAAGGTCAAAAATAGGTAAGACTCCAAAAGTCTCGAAAGATGTAGCGAACGGGAGTGTTCTAAACAAGAGAGCCATATGCTGAAGAGCGAAGCAAACAGACCAACACCAGCGGCTGCCAGTGACAGCGAATGAGCTGTAACCACGGTGCTCTTGGCTAGAACCGCCAGAATCGAAATCTGTGTAGCGGAAAAGCCAGTTAGCAGAACCTGCGTGATACTTAGTACGACCGCTGTGTCATAGTTGCCATCTTCGACTTACGACTTTAACATTCTGAAGTATGGTATTGTCGATGATGCGCGGTCGCCGCGAGATGGTCGTCAGGCGAAGGCCCGCAAGTATCGCGAAGCAGGTGCTAGGCAGGATTGATAATATGATTTTTTCAAACACCTGAGTGAAATCAAAATCGCCTCTACACCCTCGGACACCTGGCCCGAAGGTGTCATCATTCGTGCAGAGCAAGATACTCATTGCGTTGCATACAATGCTCAGAGCAAAGAGACCAGAGATCAGGTTATGGACGAACGCAACAATTAGATCTAAGCTTCGACGCTTACAAATTCGAAAACAGGGAGCCCCTGATCATCATCAGATCCACATCCGTAATTATCCCGTACATACTGTGGTACATGGCGAAAGTATTGGGCGTGGTCAGGGCGCAGCAGGGGGTTGCAACCGGAGACAGCTAGGCTGAGATAGGATAGATCGAAATAAGTTATCAAGTCTCAACAACGTTCAGCTTGTGTTATCTCAGCTAGCTCAGCCGATTGGGGAGAGAAGGGGCGAAGCCCCGACAGGGGCAGAGCCTCTGATACCCTTGCTAGCCAACATAAACCCATGCTAGTCGCGCTGGTGGCGCTCACGCTATCTTTCTGGCCAATAAGGATTTATTGCTTTAAGTGTGTTGCGTCTTATTTAAAAGCCTAGAGTGTAAGCTATATCTAATGTTCTTTTAGCATGTCTAAGTAGTGTTGTTAGAAATGCATTAGTGTAGGAAGAGTAGTTTAGTAGGGTCTTAGTAAAAGTAAGCAACTTAGGTGTGTAGGCAACTCGCTTGTGACGTACGTTAACGCATACCTAGACTATTAAAAAGTAGGCTACTTCTATTAAGAATGTCTAGACTCTAAGAAGGTAAAAAATAAAAATACTATAGTAGTAGTAAAAACTTACAGCATAGAAATAAAGCTAACCTTTACTAAGCTAGAGGAACAACTTAACCAAGAACTCTACTAGAGATTTAAAGAGAACTATAAATCTACGCAATGCTTTAAAAACTATTAGAAAGTAGAAGTTTAGAACAGCTATAACTTATAATAGGTACTGCAACAAGCTGTAATCTATAAAAGATATAAAAGAACTAAAGAACTTTTTAAATAATAGAATATGTTAAAAATGTAATCTAAGAAAAGAAGTAATTCTCTTTTAATATGTTAATAGAAGGAATCTAGGCATAAGAATTAGCCTTGCAATTTCTATAGAAATAGTGCTAGGTATGTAGAGAAGACTATAAGCCTAGGCACTGCAACATACTATACTATTAAGCAGTAGTAAGAAATAATATTATATTATATACTATAATTTCTATAATAGCTAAGGTATACTACTATGTTTTAATAGAGGACTATTAGTAGAACTTTTTTAAAAACATAATAAATAAAAGCTAGAAACTAGAATAGTTACTATACAACTTTATAATACTACTTTTAAGCTAAGAAAGGATAGAAACCCTCTTACAAGCGCTTATAATTTTAAGAAAGAAAATAATAAGCTAAATAAATAAATAGAAATGCATTCTATGCAAAAGTAGAAACTACACTAAGTATGTATACTAGTAGGAAGAACATCCTGTCTAAATTATAAAGACTAAAGAGTATCTAAGGTGGACCTAGCACTAGCTAATTACAGTCTAAACAGCTATAGAAGAATGCCTAGCTACCTAGTACCTCTGCATAAACTAGTATTGTGTCACAGTATCCTCTCTAGATCCCAGACATAACTGTGTTAGACGCGTACTAGAGTATTATTAGTGCATGTCTAACACAAACACAACACAACACAGACATAAACTTAAGCATAAACTGCCTTAACACTAACTAAACCTAGAACAGGCTTAATTTATACCTAAAGCACTTAGACTTCTAAGCTAAGTATTTAATTACTAATTTCTTTTTAAACCTTTCTATTTCTTACATAATGTCTTATACCTACTATAATACCTTACATAGTAATTAAACTAGACCTTTGTAAAGCTCTATAACCTTACTTATGCATAATTATAATATTATATTATGTTAAAACTCTAGCTAAGAATAGCCTTTAAATTTAATTTAATAAGCTTAGTACTTATATAACTCTAAGCTATTAAAGTAAGCTAAAAAGCCTTTTAAAAAGCGCTTACTTTATAAAAAAGCTACTATATTATAAGCTTTAAAGCTTTTTAAAAGAACTTTAAAAAATAGCTTTATATTATTAAGCAGTTTATTTTTACTTTAACTTTTGTTATAGTAGTAGAAACTAAGAACTTACTAGCCTTAAAGCTTACTTAGAAGTCTAAAAATAGCTTAACTTTTTTTTACCTAACACTACTTATAACTTATAACTTTTCTAACTTAGTAATAAAATTTAACTAACTCTTTAATCCTTTGCTATTTAATAGAAAATAGAAAAACTTACCTTTTTTTCTACATAAGCTTTAATATAAACTTAAAGAAAACATAGACTAATTTCTTTTTAAATGCTTTTAGTTACTATATACTTACTTTTAACTTAACTATAATATAATAGCCTTAATTAACTTACTAATAAATAAAAATATTATTAACTTAGATTAATTTATAGTGTTTTTATAAGTAACTTATAAAGACTTAAATAAAAAGTTAACAGCTCTAAGTTACTTAAACACTTTATAATAAAAAAAAAAGCTTTACTTTACACTTTACTAAGTTCTACTAACTTATATTTAATATAGGCCTAAATAAGATAGGTCTAATTATAGCTTTATATAACTCCTTTTTAACTAAACTATAACGCGCTATAGTAGAAGAACCCCTTCTAAACAACCTTAACATGTATGTAAACCTAATTACTACTTATAATAATAATATAAGGTTCCTCTCTATATAAGCCCTAATACGCCTCTAAACTAGCGTAGTTATAAATAAGAACTTTAACATAATAAAAATTAATTTAAATTATGCTCTACTTAGTTCTAAAAAGTATAAAAATTATAAAAAAAAAAGTTAATGCTTTAAGTGTAGTAAGCATAGTTATATTTTTTTAAAACTACTTTATTCCTTTTTTTTAAGTCTACATAAGTAGTGCTACTAGCACTTATTAAAAATCTTTACTATTTTAATTTTATTTTTTATAAAGGCTTTAACTTATATTTAAGCTTTAATCTTTTTTACTACTCTTAACATAGCTGCAGCTATAGCAGTAAAAGCCTGCAAAAAGGCTTGTTCTAGAGCTAAGTTACCCTCTAGAACTAATTTAACACTAGATCTTTACTAACTTATAAGCTAAGTCCCCTACTAATAACTAAAAGTACTAAGTTAATATTTTTATATATTTATAATAAAAAACTATATTAGCTCTAATATAAGCTCTTATTAACTTAGAAGTAAACAGCATAGGTTATATTAATAAAAAACTAGCATGTAAACTAAATCTTTAATTAACACTACTTACCTAAATAATTTACCTAACTAAATTTAATAAAAAATAACTTAAAAAAAGTTTTATTTTTTATACTATAACTATTATAATTACTTACTAACACTATAAGAAGCAGATTAAGCTCTATGTAATAAATATAAAATGTTATAACTTAATCCTAGAATAACTATAGCTATATTAGCATAAAGTTACTTTTAATTACTAAAAGTAAGTTCTAAACTTTAACTCTTTTTAATGCTAAGATATATGCTTATACTTACACTTAAACAACACCTAAGTAGCACTTAATATAAAAGGTTTTTAAACCTACTTTTTAATAACCTAGAGAAAAACTACTTAAGTAAGGCTAATAAGCTAGGCCTTTTACTAAAATAAGCTATATAAGATAATTTAATAACTACTTAAACTTAAAAAAAAAGCTTTTAAGAAATTTTTACTTACTTAATTTAAACATAAACTAGAACTTAAACAGTAGATAGACATCTACTACATAGAACCTGCTCTATTTATAACCCTAGCTTAACAACTAGATTATAAAATCTACATAGTTATAATTTCTAATATAGACTAAGCTTTAGCTCTCTAAAAATACACTAACTTAAAAATAATAGTTTTTTAAAACTACTCTAACTTATTATATGTCTTTTTTTAAGATAAGTTTAATAAGCTTTTAATATAACATTTATATAATTACTAGATAACTTTTAAGCCTAGTAAACAACCTAGTTATAGGCTACTATATAAGATGTTACTAAATAAATTAAAAGTGCTTTAAAAATACTTTAATAAGAACTTAAAAAAAAAGTTTATTTAAGCTAGCTTTTTACTAGTAGTGTTACTTATACTATTTATAAAGAAACCTAAAAGTAGGCTTTAATTCTATGTTAACTACTAAGAACTAAACACTATTACTATTAAAAACTAATACTTAATTCTCTTTTTATAAAAAACCTTAAGCTAACTAAGTAAAGTAAAGTATTTTATAAAGTTAGATATTATTACTACTTTTAATAAGCTAAAAATAGTAAAAGGTAATAAGTAGCTAATAGTATTTTAGACCTAATATAGACTATTTAAGTACTTAGTAATGCCCTTTAGCTTAGCTAACACGCCTAGTACTTTTTAACATTTTATAAACAACTTGCTCTAACCCTACCTAGACGTGTTCTGCACTATGTATATTAACAATATTTTAATCTACAGTAATAGCCTTTTAGAGCATAAACAGCATGTACGCCTAGTGCTAAAAGCTATAGAAGAAGCAGGTCTATAACTTAACATAAATAAATGCAAGTTTTACTAATTAAAGGTTATGTATTTAGAATATATAATCTTTATAGATAGTATTTAAATAGACCTTATTAAAGTTTAGACTATGCTAGATTAGTAATACCTAAAGAATGTAAAAAATATTTAAGCTTTTATAAAATTTACTAACTTTTACTAATAATTTATTAATAACTTTTTATAGTAAGTAAGCCTTATAATTACACTTACTAAAAAAAAAATTTAATTTAACTTTAACTTAAATTACTAATAGTCTTTTAACTAGCTAAAAAAAGCCTTTACTAAAGCCTTAATACTTTACTACTTTAACTCTAAACTACTAATACTTATAAAAGCTAATACCTTAGACTATATAGTAGCAAAAGTTCTCTCTTAGACTAAGCTAGACAGAACTATTAGGCCTATTACATATTTCTTAAAAAGAATAAGTTCTATAAAAGGTAATTATAAGATCTATAATAAGAAATTACTTACTATAGTACACTACTTTAAATAATAGTAACCTAAACTAGAAGG